TTGTTTTGTTTTTGTTTTTGGTTATAGCAGTTTTATTCATAATTGCCAAAATTTGGAAACCATCAAGATATGAATGGCTTCCAAAATTTGGAAGCCATCAAGCCACATTCAGTATGTGAATCGATAAACAAATTATGATACATCCAGAGACAATAGAATATTTAGTGCCAAAAAGGCCACAGTTAAAAGACATGGAGAAGCTTTAGCCGGTTTGGCTCAGTGGATAGAGCATCGGCCTGTGGACTGAGAGTCCCAGGAACAATTCTGGTCAAGGGCATATGTCCCAGGTTATAGGCTCAACCCCTAGTAGGGGGCATGCAGGAGGCAGCTGGTCAATGATTCTCTCATCATTGATGTTTCAATTCCTTCCTCTGACTTCCTCTCTGAAATCAGTAAAAATATATTTTAAAATAACAAGTTAAAAAAAAAAGAGAGAGACATGGAGAAACCTTAAATGCATATTGCTGTGAAAGAAGTCAATATGAAAAGGCTACTGTATGATTCCAACTATAAGACATTTTGGAAAAGGTAAAGCTATGAATACAGTAAAAATATCAGTGGGTCAGGGGTTGGGAGCAGGGAGTGTCAAATGGGAATACAGAATTTTTAGGGCAGTGAAATTATTTCATATGACTATAAGGTGGGTGCATCTCATACATTTGGTCAACACCCATAGAATGTAAAACACTGAGTGAACCTTAATGTCAACGATGTTCTTTCAGCGATAATGATGGGTCAATGTAAATTCAACAAATTTAACATTCTGGTGGAGGGTGTGTGGATTGTAGGGGAAATAGAGGTGGAGGGGGAAGAATTTTGGAACTCATAATTTCTGCTCAATTTTTCTGAAAGTCTCAAATTGCTTTTTTAAAAAAATCTATTTTACATTCCCATCAGCAATGTACAGGATTCCAATTTCTCCACATCCTGGATAACAACAGGTATTTTTTTTTTTTAATAATAGCCACCTAAATGGTGTGAATTAGTATTTCACTGTGATTTTTACCTGTATTTCCCGAATGATTAGTGATGTTGAGCATCTTCTCATGTACTTACTGGCCATTTGTAAATCTTTGGAGAAATATCACTCAAATCAGTTTCCCATTTTTTGAATTGGGTTTTTGTTTGTCTATAAAGAATGAATGCTTACAGACAGAGCAGGTACTTTTGGTCAGGCCCTTGGACTGGTTTTTAAATGGGGGCAGAGGGGGGGAGGAGAGGGGAGGAGGAAGGTTATTACTTCGGTATTACCAAAACTGTTGAAGTCCCAGGCATTATTCAGATATAATTAAAAAGTATGTTACAGCCAAAACTGGTTTGGCTCAGTGGATAGAGCTTCGGCCTCCAGACTGAAGGGTCCCGGGTTCAATTCCGGTCAAGAGCACGTACATTGGTTGTGTGCAAGAGGCAGCTGATCAGTGTTTCTCTCTCATCGGCATTTCTAGCTCTCTGTCCCTCTCCTTTCCTCTCTGTAAAAAAATCAATAAAATATATATATTTTAAAAGTATGTTACACTCTTATCTCAACAAAATCTATCTTTGCAAGTTCTCCCCACCCTCTAATCCTCCTGTCCTAGCTGGTAGACAAAGTTCGTTGGCTGTCCTGGGACACATTCCCAAATTAGTCCCTGAGAGACACTGTTTCCTGCAAGCAAACTGCTAATTCATTGTGGGAAAATCCATTCCTATAAGCTTGTTATCTATTCCTAGTGCTATCTCTGCTTGCCACCTGTGTATCAGAAGAACCTTTAACCATCATTGACTGGGAATGTTACCCGAGCAGCTGATGGGAGTGGTGGCTCAATGAGACATCAAACCTGCGTTGGAGAGCAACTGCCCTCGTGACTCCATCTGGGGCAGAGTCTCCTTCCACGATGGCATCTGAAGGAGGTTCAAAAGGAAACGGTCACATTAGAATTGTAATTGCTCATTATGGGGAAAACAGGTCTGCACAGGAGAATTCTGGCTCCCTCCTTACCCGTTTCTGAAGCTGCATTAAATACTATAATAACTTTGACATTCACTATGTCAAAAACATGGCGCTAAAGCTATTGTCTTTAAAGAAGTGCATTTAAAATGGTGCGGCCATTTTGCAAAACAGTATGGCAGTTACTATGCAGGTTAAACATAGAGTTATCATGTGTCCCAGTCATCCCACCCCCAGGAATATCCTCAAGACAACCGAAAACCTATGTCCAGGCTAAACTTGTACACAGATGTTCCCATGGCATCATTATTCATGATAGCCCCAAAGTAGAAAATCTAAATGGCCATCAATTGAGAATGAATAAATCAAATGTGGCATGTCTATACAGTGGAAAATTATTCAGTTATTAAAGGGAATGAAGAACTGATACATGCTACAACATGAATAAACCTTGAAAGCATGCTTAGTGGTGTTTTTTTTAAAGCAGACATAAAAGGTTACATATTGTATGATTCCAATTATTTCCATTTATAGGAAAAGTCCAGGTTATGCAAATCCAGAGCAACAAGAAGAAGATTAGCGGTTGTCAGGGGATGGTATGGAGGAGAATGGGAGTGTCTGTTAACAAGTGTGTGGTTTCTTCTTTGGTGAGAAACATGTTCTGGAATTAAGTTATGGTGATATGTGAATTGTGGTTGTGGTACAACCATGAGAATATAATAAAACCACTAAACTGTACACTTTAAATGGGTGAATTTTATGGGTATGTGAATGATACCTCAATAAAGCTGCTATAAAAAAAAGAAATGTGCCGAAGCCGGTTTGGCTCAGTGGTAGAGCATCGGCCTGCGGACTGAAAGGTCCCAGGTTCGATTCCGGTCAAGGGCATGTACATTGGTTGCGGGCACATCCCCAGTAGGGGGTGTGCAAGAGGCAGCTGGCTGATGTTTCTCTCTCATCGACGTTTCTAGCTCTCTGTCTCTCTCTGTTAAAAATCAATAAAATATATTTTTTTTAAAAGAAAAAAGAAATGCCCACTAAATGTTAATGGCAACCCTTACAACTACCTCATGAGGAGATATTATCCCCCCAATTTTTCATGAAGAAACTGAAGTGTAAAAATAATTGATGTGTCCAATATTATTCAGTTCAACCAGAAGGAGCTTTGGCTATGAATCCAGCACAGTCCATCTGATTCCAGAGCTTCAGCGGACTATTCGAGGGGGGACATTTTGAAAAATACAAACACAAAAAAGTAGAAATAAAACTCGGCACCTGGCCATACTTTCCCAAAACTGTTGCATTGCCAAGGCAGTAATAAGAACACAAGGCAGCAAAGTACCACTACTAATTATTCTCTGTAGGCCTTATGTAGCACTTCCGTAAGTGCTTTCCATTTAGTCCTCATAGCTACCTAACGAGGTGGGCCTCTTACTAGTATGCCTATTTTACAGATGAACATGTACATGTATGGCAGAGTGGATGAACACTTACTTGCCAGTGGCATGCAGCCTGCACCTTTGGTAGGAATTTAGGAGAGGAACAGAGAGCTGAGGCAGCCAGGGGGAACTTCATGAAGGAAGGATCCCCGAAGGAAGGGAAGGTGAGCCCTGGATAATCACGTCTGAAGAGGGAAGCATGGGGAGGGCCTCGAAGGCGGAATGGAAGTCGCTGAACAAAGAGGTGGAAAATACTAACATTGTTCAGTGTGGGTGATGAGTGCAGATTATGTTGTTACATTATTCTCTGTATGTTTTTTCACTTAGAAATGATTAGCAAACATTTTTAATATTTATTCACTGTGTTTTGGGGGAACAAAACATTTTCTTTCCTTTTGTGTGTGTGTGGGAGGGCAAAAGTAGGTTTATGGTTGTTGGTATAGAAAAATGACGTAATGCTTAATGAATAATAATATAAGAATAAACTTTTGCCCCACTCTGTATATACACACCCATATACATAAAAACATTTGCTGATTAGAATGAGGAGAGGTCTTTATTCTTTCTAAAACAAGTCTTAGTGTTTCAATTGTATTTGCTGCTTTAGTTAGTAAGTTTTGGGGATTTTTTTCCCCCCTCACACAGATCTACCTCATCCTTGTCATAATCGCATAATATTCACAATAGGAATGTATCATGATTTAATTCTCCATTCTCCTATTGATGCCAATTTCCCACTGTTACAAGCATTGTTTGTAAACACTGTACTGCTGTTTGTGGTCCTGCATTTCCTTTTAGGAGCCTATTCTTTCTCTTTTCTTTTCTTTTTTTTAAATGTTTTATTGATTTTTTACAGAGAGGAAGGGAGAGGGATAGAGAGTTAGAAACATCGATGAGAGAGAACATCGATCAGCTAGCTGCCTCCTGCACATCTCCTACTAGGGATATGCTGCAACCAAGGTACATGCCCTTGACCTCAATCAAACCTGGGGCCTTGCGAGCATTTTTTATTATAACATTTGAGGTAGATACTAAGAGGCAGAAATGGGGTCATAAATTCACTTTTTAAGTGACACAAACAGAGTCAATAGGAAATCTCAAAAATTTTTTTAAATTTATCTTTATTGTTCAAAATATTGCAGATGTCGCCTCTCCCCTCACCCCCCAATTAACCCCCTCCACCCTTTACCCGCCCCTTCTATGTCCATGGGTTATGCATATAGGCATATAAATTCCCCGGTTAACCTTTTCTCACCCACGCTTTTCCTCATTTTGTTGTAAACCTAAAACTGCTCTTTCACTCCCTGACCCTGCCGGGGTACCAGGAACACCGGCAGTTTCTCCCTAAGTCCAGGCGGGAGCGTGGCCCGGGGGGATTTATGCGCCCACCTACGCGGCGCGGGGTGCAGCCCGCCCGCCCGCGGGTTAGGTGCGAGGGCACCGTGACCTACTACCCTCCCGCCCGCGCTCTAGCCCCGCCTACCCGTCCCTTTCATTGAGAAACCCCTTCGCGATCACGTGAAACGGGCGTGCTGGGCTCGTGACGTCATCCAGCGCGGACCAATGGGAGCTTCTGTTTATGTGGAGGGGGCGGGGCCGCGGAGGGTTCTCTCCTTCGCAGCCGCCGGCCGGCCCCGCCCCGCCCGCCGCCCCGCCCCCTCGCTCTCTCGCTGGGGTTGGGAGCGCCGGGCTGAGCGGGAGGCGGCGCCGCTCCGCGCTGCTGGGAGGGCCGCGCCGTCCGCTTTCTGCAGACCCGCCTCCGCCAGCGTCTCGTCGCCACCTCGGTCCCCGTGCCGGGCCGAAGCCGCGGGCCGTCGCGGGCGGCCGGGTCCGCGTCCTGCCGCAGCGCCCGGAGGACATGCGGGAGAGAGAATGAGCCAGAGGGACACGCTGGTGCATCTGTTTGCCGGGGGGTACGGCCCGGGCCGGGGGCTGGGGGAGGCCGAGGGCTGCGGCCTGGGGCGCGGGCGAAGGGGGTCCGGGGGATGGGGCATCGGTCCGCAGAATGACGGGGTGCGGCCGCCATCGGGGAGGGTTTGGGGGGGGGGGGTGAAGCCGAGGACGGAATGAGGCCGGGGCCTGCGGGGCGGTGCGGGGCTGGGGCCTGAGGGCGGGCGGAGTTGGGCCCCGCGCCGAGGCCTAGCGGGCGTGTGCGGTGCGGGCCGCGGCCGGGGTGCAGCTCGCTGCGGGCCTCGCGTAGGCTGCTTGGCCGGGAAGGGGGGGGGATGGAGGACGGGGCGGGACGTGCGGAGGCCGAAGACGACAAAATGGGCGCCGGGCCTGGGCCGCCTCCTTCCCTTCTGCCGCGCGGGCCCGGGGCCTCCTCCCGCCGCTCGCGCCGCGGACTCGCGCCTCCGGTTTCCGGGGCGGCCCGGGGGGGGTTCCCGGCCCCGACAGGCTTCGGTTCTCCCTCCCGCAGCAGCCGTGGGCCTCCGGCTCCGGGAAGTGCGCCTCCGCGAGCTGCTCCAAGGTTACATACGAGATGCGGTGCAGAAAGCGGCCATGCCTCCGAGGTCGCCTTCTTTGGAAAGCCAGCCAGTCCTCCGCTGCACCCGCCGCTTGGCCTGTTTTCTTTCTTTCTTTTTTTAAGAGAAAAGGAGGGGATTTGGGGGGACGGGCTAGGGCCAGGTCAGAAGCTCCGGCGGTAGCGGTGTCTTTCTTACAGGGTTAGGACGGAGCCTGAAGGTTCAGGTTGTCAGCTGATCGTTCTCTGAGCCAGTGTAGGTTCCCTCTCGGGTTTGTCCCTTCTTCCAAATGATTTGAAGAATCGTTCACAGTTTTAAGTTTAGGATCCTAAAGATTTCTTATCAGAAATGGCTACGGTGAGTCATGTGGAGGCACAGGTTTTTTTTCTGCCAATAAAGTCACATCATCCCCTTAGAGGCCGTGGTTTGTTCCTTAATCGGCCTTGTTAAGACTGTGAAATGGATGTGTTCGCAGCTCTGCTCACCATGTCTCCATGTGAGTTGGACGTGTGAGCTCTGTTGCCAGTTGATGCCATTCCTCGCCATGTGGCACGTTCATGGAACGCCTTACTGCACGCCAATTGTGGCCCAACCACTGCTCTGACATTTAAAATGCTTCTTTTCACCCGTGAGACCCAATTTAGGCTGTTTGCTTTTCATTTATTGGTAATCTGCGCAAATTCACTCCATTTTTAAAAACTCATTGATCGCCTTAACCGGTTTGGCTCAGTGGATAGAGCGTCGGCCTGTGGACTCAAGGGTCCCAGGTTCGATTCCGGTCAAGGGCATGTACCTTGGTTGTAGGCACATCCCCAGTGGGGGGTGTGCAGGAGGTAGCTGTTTGATGTTTCTCTCTCATCGATGTTTCTACCTCTCCTCCCTTCCTCTCCGTAAAAGATCAATAAAATATATTTTTAAGAAATAAAAATAAAAACTCATTGACCATGTAGATGGAAAGATGCCTTGTTATGCAAATAATTGGATTCCCTGTGGTAATTAGATCGCTAGCAAATGCCTAAAATTTAGGAGGCTGCACTACTTCTGGCCACTATTTTAAGTGAAAAAAATGGACAAGACCTTTGATTTTAATTGCTTCATCTATAAAATGTGGAAGACATGTGATCTCTAAGGCCCTTCTCTATATGTCCTAACATTTCTATTACTCTGCATTTGAGATTCATATATCAAGTTTTCTTAAAAGTAGGGCATATTTATTTGAAATATTACTTTGATTGCACTAACTTCCCAGTTTGGTTTAGGATCAACTTTGTTATCAGTCACTTTGCTAAGGCCTTTCTGGTTAGTTTTTTTTTTTTTTAAACAGGAATGGAGAGGTTGTTTTTTAAAAAATATATATTTTTATTGGTTTCAGAGTGGAAGGCAGAGGAAGAGGGAGAGAGAGAGAGAAATAGAAACATCAATGATGAGAGAGAATCCTTGATGGGCTGCTTCTGTACTCCCCCTATTGGGATGGAGCCTGCAACCCAGGCATGTACCCTTGTCTGGAATCGAACCTGGGACCCTTCAGTCTGCAGGTCGATGCTCTATTCACTGATTCAAACCAGCCAGGGCAGGAATGGAGAGTTTTTGCAGCTTCTAAACATAAATAGATATAGGAGCCCTCCCTGAAAGAACCTAGTCTGTGTAGGTCATTTACAGTATTAAACAAGATACTGGCATGTAGGGTCTGACATAAGATAGGTACTCAGCCTTGTATATTCCCTTCCTTTGCATGTTGTCTTGATTTTACTTTTAAATGCAGTTGCATAAGTCACTATAAAACCTGGCTTTTAGATATGAGAGAAACATTAGAACTAGGGAGGATGGTAAAGATCATCTGTTTTATCCCTTCAAAATACAGGGGGGGGAAATACTGAAGTATGAAAAATTGTCTTACCAAGGTCAATTTTCCATACATATAAACTGAGATGTAAAGAATCTCTAAAGATTCTTCCAGCTCTTTATTATATAAAATCAATTCTGTAGAATATTCTGGAAGTCTGTGTGCTAAGCATTGTGGAAATGCAAATCAGGCTGCTTCCCTGACATAGTTCTAATTGAAGATGTCTAATTCTCTTATACCTCACAATGGTTACTTAGGCAAGCAGTTTTAGATGGTCTTCCTAGAAAACTAGCTTTTATTTTTTAAAAATCCTGGTAGAATCAAGAATCAATTAAATTGGGAATTAGAAAATTTAGTTTTGCTTTAGTAACTAGGTAGTTAAAAGAAAAGAGAACTCTTTTTTTTTTTTTTTTTTTTTTAGCTGTTTGCCTGGGCAAACACAAGTATCATTTGGGTTAAATTATGAAAACACAATATATTTTTAGAAAATTAAGTAACTTTTCACAGTGACATTTAATTGAATGAATGTGGAGCCTTTGGGTTGTTTTCCTGATGACTATAATAGTGTTTATCAGGATCTCAGAGAGATTTCCAATAGCCTAGTGGCTGTATTATTCAATCAGGAACATTTGAAACAGACAGGCAGCACTGGACCTTGTGTCTGGGCGACATACTCACATGCAGAACTCGTGCTTTCTTTAAGACACCCTTTGGTCCCATTATGTTTTGCCAGAGTTAACATTCAGAGTTTGCAAGGTCATTGGTTATGTTAATTGAATTTTGGAGGCAACTCACAGCCTCCTGCAAAAGGATGTGTCAGTAAAGTTTAATTTCACGTTTAATAACACTGTATGTCTCTATATCTATTTATAAATATGAAATATACTTTTAATTCTTTAATAGAACTACACAATGTGTAGTATTGTGTCAGTTGCATATGTCCACCAAGAGGCAGTTCAATGTTTTCTTTCCTTTTTGAGAGAGAGATTGTCTCAAGTGGGAGGCCTACACCTTCAACACTTAAATTGATGAATTTTTTCCTTTGTAGCTTCTGTGACAGAGCTTCTGTGATAGTGAGAGTGTAATGAGTAATATCTCAAATTATCTAAAAAAAACTTTGTTATGGAATTAATCTATCCATTCATTTATTCAGTAAGAAATTTCCACTTGGGTGTCAAATATGTTGATTCTGCAGAAATTTGTTAAATTACTTTACCTGGTTCTTTGTAAAATGAGGAAAGAAGTAGAATAGTTAAAAAGTATAATTAATGTGGTTTATTTCCACTTTGTTTTTTATTAGCCCTACTTCCATAATTTTACCACCTTTTCTTTTTCTAAAAAAAAAAATGCATTCTTTCATTCTAATAGGTTACAAGACTAAGGGAAGTTACTTACCCTAATGTAGAGTATTCTTGAAACTATTTTTGTGTAAGTGTGTTAGTATAGTGCAGCCAGCTGGGTCATGGACTACTGGGAGATCCCAAGACCCTTTCATTGGTTTGAGAGGTTAAAGCTATTTTCCTAAAAATACTAAGACACTATTTGCTTTTTCACTGTGTTGCATTTGTACTGATGGTTCATAAGCAGTAATGAGTAAAACTGCTGTTAGCATGCATCAAGGCAATGTTGCCCTGTTCTAGTAGTTGTTGGCACTAGCAGTTTTAAAAAGCTTCACTTAGGAATGTTCTTAAAGCAGAAAAATTAGTAATTTTATTAAGTCTCGACTCTTGAGTGTACTCATCTCTATTTCTGTGTGACAAAATGGGAAATACAAATAAAGTGCTTCTGCACACCAAAGTAGTTTGTAGTCGTTCCAGTCTCAGGTTGAGCTAGCCTATTTTTCATAATCTTTCTTACTTTAAAGAGCAATTAATTGACTGACTATTCAGACTTGACTACTTGGCAGACATTTTCTCAAAAAATGAAGGCAGTGGGCCTGTTGATTCAAGGAGAACAACTGACAAAACTTTTGCCATATGATAAATATGAGTTTTCAAGCAAAAATTATGGTTTTTGAAATCTTGGACTGACAGGAAGTGTAATTTTTTAAATTGCATAATAAAATGTATCAACACTTGAAAGACCTGTGTAATTCACTAAACCAATGTTTTTCAAATGATCAGTGTGTGATGTTACAGAGTCATACATGGATAAAAGATTCAAAATGCAAGATAGACTAATGGATTTTAATGTAACTGTAAAATTTATTGGTATAGTTCAGATTCCAATTGCAGCTAAGCTTTAAGAACCTACAACTTGTCAGTTTTAATGTAGAATTGAAAAATACCCATAATTATATGAAAAGGTGGATTGAATTATATAATTAATTAAAAGGTGTTCATTGCTATGGAAAAATGTGAAAAAATGGAGCAGGATAAAGGGGAGTAGTGGGAGTGCATTTATTTCTTTTTTAGGGAAAGGGGAAAGGAGAGGGAGAGAAGATAGAAACATTGGTGATAGAGAAACATCTATCAGCTGCCTCCCTGCACGCCCCCTACTAGAGATGGAGCCCATCAGCAGCCTCTTGGTGCATGGATGATGCTCAGTCCACTGAGCCACACTGATTGGGCCTTGGGAGTATTAATTTGACTCATGCCCTAATTAGGAAAACACAGTGGGCTATATTACCTGCAGACAAAAAAATGACAAAATATTTTAATCTATTCACAAAGCTAACACTGTAGTTGTCTAACAAAATAGGGTTGCTTCAAGTTAATACATATATTTCTGTATCCCTTTATCTCAGTTGCAACTAATGATTGTCAGCCTCAATACCTCATAACTAGATAATTATAGGAACTTCTTCACTTGGCCTTTTTAAAAACTGTGTGTATGCCCTAGCTGGTTTGGTTCAGTGGGTAGGTCTTTGGCCTGCGGACTGAAAGGTCCTGGGTTCAATTCTGGCCAAGGGCACATGCCTGGGTTGTGGGCTTGATCCCCAGTGGGGGGCTGCAGGAGGCAGCCAATCAGTGATTCTCATCATTGATATTTCTATCTCTCTCTCCCTCTCCCTTCCTCTCTGAAATCAATAAATATATTTTTTTAATTAAAATATTAGATCCCTAGCCTGTTTTGCTCAGTGGATAGAGCATCGGCCTGCAGACTGAAGGGTCCCAGGTTCAGTTCTGGTCAAGGGCATGTACCTGGGTTGCAAGCTCAATCTCTGGTGCCACATGTAGGAGGCAACCCATCCATGTGTCTCTCTCACATTGAAGTCTCTCTTGTCTCTCCCCCTCCCTTCCACTCTCTAAAAATCAATGAAAAAATATCCTCTGTTGAAATTTCTCTATCTTCTATAATTGAAACTTTGTAGGCTAGAGTGGAGTCCTAGGCCGGCTAGGGCTGCAGAAGCTTGGCTTCCTCAATCGCCTGGGGCAACCCTAGCCTCCTGCTCTTCCAGCTCAGTGGCTGCCGCCATTTCTGTGGAATTTATTTACCTTCTATAATTGAAACTTTGTACCCTTGAGTGGGGGCCTGGGCCTGCCAGGATGTGTGGAAAGCTTGGCTTCCTCCATTGCCAGGGAAACCCTAGCCCTCCTCCTGTTATCTGTGGCCAAAACCATCTTGGTTGTGTTAATTTGCATCCTCGCTCTCATTGGCTGGGTGTAGTCGAGTGATGGTTAATTTGCATATTACTCTTATCAGATAGGACTAGTGGTCCAGTGCATGAAATTTGTGCATGGAATAGGGGGAGGAGGGTTCCCCTCAGCCCAGCCTGCACCCTCTCCAATCAGGGACACCTTGTATTAAACTCAAAAGTTATATATGGATTTTAAACTACGTAGAGATGGGAGTTACTGCTTCTAACCCCCTATATTGTTTAAGAATCAACTATAATTGCTGAAACCGGTTTGGCTCAGTGGATAGAGCATTCATCTGCGGACTGAAGGGTCCCAGGTTCGATTCCAGTCAAGGGCATGTACATTGGTTGTGGGCACATCCCCAGTAGGGGGTGTGTAGGAGGCAGTTGGTCGATGTTTCTCCCATCAATGTTTCTAGCTTTCTATCCCTCTCCCTCTCTATTAAAAATCAATAAAATATATATTTTTAAAAAAGAATTATAATTAAGGTATTGAAGAGGCCAGTGTGGCTGGAGCAGTGAGAAGGTGAATGGTAGATGAGGTCAGAGGGATCAGTAATGAACAGATTGTATAAGATTTTATAGGCCATTGTGAGGACTTCGGTTTTTATTCTGAATGAGTTAGGAAGTCTGGAAGGTTTTTAGCAGAGGAGAGACTGATCTGACTTAAGTTTTCAATACAATCAAAGATTTCAATACAGCCGAAGCCGGTTTGGCTCAGTGGTAGAGCATCGGTCTGCGGACTGAGGGGTCCCAGGTTCGATTCCGGTCAAAGGCATGTGCATTGGTTGCGGGCACATCCCCAGTGGGGGGTGCGCAAGAGGCAGCTGGTCGATGTTTCTCATCGATGTTTCTAACTCTCTCTCCCTTCCTCTCTGTAAAAAATCAATAAAATATATTTTTTAAAAAAAAGGTTTCAATACAATCAAAGGCTTAGACCAAGGTGGAAATGATGAAAAGTGGTCAAGAGATTGTGATTTTTTTTTTTTTTAAGTTCTGAGTCAAAAGACATGTACGTCATTTTTTTTTTAGGGTCCAGTGAGTCCCAGAAATATCAACCACATTCTCTAGTTAAAAACGCCTGCTGTTTTTTTTGTGTGTGTGTGTGTGTGGTTTTTTTGTTTGTTTTTTAAATATATTTTATTGATTTTTTTACAGAGAGGAGGAGAGAGGGATAGAGAGCTAGAAACGTCGATGAGAGAGAAACATCGACCAGCTGCCTCTTGCACACCCCCCACCGGGGATGTGCCCGCAACCAAGTTACATGCCCTTGACCAGAATCGAACCTGGGACCCTTCAGTCCGCAGACCGACGCTCTACCACTGAGCCAAACCGGTTTCGGCACCCCTGCTGTTTTTTTTAAAAATACTGCTAAAATTTTGATAAATTAATTAAAAATGTATTCAAAATGTTAAAAAAAAAAAAAGTGTGCTGAATAATAATAAAAATCAGCATTTTACAGTTTTTACACCTTCTTAATAGGAACTTTCTATAAGTCTTAGCTATTTCCTTTGGTATTTTCTTCATACTTTCTTTTCTGTTAGATGGGGATTTAGTTATACTATATCACTCTCTGTTTACTCCTTTTCCTCCTCTCAATATATAGTTATTTACATCATAGTTTTTTGTTAAATCAATAGTCAGTGCTTATCTTACTATGACAATATAAATATTGTTGATAGAATAGCTAAGTTGTGTATTGACCACTTCATTTTTAATAACTTCATTTTCTTGAATAATTTCATTTTCTCCCCTAGAGTTAATAATTACCCCACATTTTGAAATGTTTGCTTAGTTATGTGAGTATTCTTTTTTTTTTTTTTTTAATATATTTTATTGATTTTGTACAGAGAGGAAGGGAGAGAGATAGAGAGTTAGAAACATCAATGAGAGAGAGTCATCGATCAGCTGCCTCTTGCACACTCCCCACTGGGGATGTGCCCGCAACCAAGGTACATGCCCTTGACCAGAATCAAACCTGGGACCCCCCAGTCCCCAAGCCGACGCTCTATCCATTGAGCCAAACCAGTTTCGGCAATGAGTATTTATTCTTGAATATTTATTTTCATATGGTCAAATATATTTGTCTATTAGTCTTTTTTCCTCCTTGGAGATCTTATCCCTCTGAATTCTGTCATCCTAATCCTATTTGGCTTGGTTCTTTTTTGTTTGTTTGTTTTTTTGTTTAGTTAAGTTTCTATTTATTTTAGAGATTGATGAGGGGAGAGAGAGCTAGAAACATCGAAGATGAGAGAGAATCATTAATTGGCTCCTTTCTGCATGCCCCCTTCTGAGGCTCAAACCCACAACCTGGAATGGAACCCTGACCTCATGACTTCCTGACTCACGGGTCAGCATCCAACCACTGAGCCACAACGTTCAGACTAGCCTGGTTATTTTTCTGAGTCTTGACATTTCACTGTCATCTTGGGACTCCATTCTCCCTCTCCTGTGTTATTTTGTTCCTGCATTCAATTCCCTCTTTTTCCTCCCAGTTTTATTGAAATATTGACATATAACATAGTATTAGTCTTAGGTGTTCCCTCTTTTTTATTTAACTTGTGGAACAAATTCTTTAGTAGCTGTGTAAGAAAGGGTACAAGATAGGGAATTTCTTGAGTCTGTCTTATCGACACTCTTGTGAGGTAGATATTAAGCTTAGTTCTTTCTAACTACCAAAGGTATTTTTGTATGCAGTCAAATAAATGAAATGTTAAAAAAGTAGTTAGTCTTCTAAATAAAATAAAAAGTTGCATTTTAGTACGTTGGTAAACTCCTAGTTGCCTACATGTATGTTAACATGAATTAAGTAGGTAAGTTGTGTTCTTTTTGTTTTTTGTAGATGTGGTGGTACCGTGGGAGCTATTCTGACATGTCCACTGGAAGTTGTAAAGACTCGGCTGCAGTCTTCTTCTCTGACGCTTTACATCTCTGAAGTTCAGCTGAACACCATGGCCGGAGCCAGTGTCAACCGAGTAGTGTCGCCAGGACCTCTCCATTGCCTGAAGTGAGAGCACAGTACTCATCTTTACTTTTAGTTTATCTACTTAATGATGGCCATATATTTGTTTGTTTCTATTGACATTTAAAATTTTTTACAAATTTAATGACAGAGTTACTCTGAATTATATTCATTAATAATGATCATCCAACATTTTATCTTGGATAATATAAAATGTATTATCTATCTTGTATATATTTGGAATATTTTTTGCACTTATTCAGTGGATTTATTTTCTAAAACTATTATAGGTATTTTATTTTGAATTAAGTAATCCAATTAATGGCAGTCTGTTACTTTTATATAACTTAAACAATAATTGAGATTAAAGTAGACTTATACTGATTTTAAAATGTGATTCAGTGTTTGGCATTCTTGATGCATTAAAAAAAGATTTGTTTGTACATTTCACCATACTTTATTATGTTACAAATTGGGTTGAAATTTAAAACTATTGAATGTAGGTTTTACATGTTTAAACTTAGGTATGTAACTGAATGCCTTGTGTGTTTGCCTTATCAGCTCAATTGGGACATAATCTGTTTGAACTTAGTTTACTAGTGTTTATTCTGTAGTAGCAAATAAGCTCATACTGTGTGTTTACTTTCTCTACCAAAAGATTTTTATCAGTCTTTTCTTTGTTTAAACTTACCTAAGTACACGAATAGGTAGAATAAAATTGTTAACAAGTTTGAATTAAAATGCCATACTTATTTGTAAATATTTCCGATTAATAAGAATATTTTAATATGATTTTGACATTTATTACCACTGATTACCTCTCAGAGTTCTCCCTTTGACCTTTGTGACAACACTATTTTTCATTATGGTGGTGGTGTTTTTTGCCTTTTATTTTTAAGATTTTTAGAGAGGAGGGAGAGAGAGAAACATCAATATGAGAGTGGTACATTGATTGGCTGCCTTCTGTATGCCTCCTATCAGGGATCAAGCCTGTAACCCAGCATGTATCCTGACTGGGAATTGAACCAGCAACCTTTGGTGCATGGGATGATGCCCAACCTACTGAGCCACACTAGCCAGGACTATTCTGTTTTTCTTTCTTTTAAGTATATTTTTATTGATTTCAGAGAGGAAGGGAGAGGGAGAGAAACATTAATGATGAGAGAGAATCATTGATCAGCTGCCTTCTGCAGGCCCCCTACTAGGGATGGAGCCCAAAACCCCAGCCTGTGCCCTTGACTGGAATCGAATCCGGGCCCCTTCAGTCCACAGGCTGATGCTCTATTCACTGAGCCAACCTGGCTAGGGCAGGGCTATTGTGTTTTTCAGTGGTTCTGCATTCTCTGACTTTCTTCAGAGCAACTCCAGGACCTCTGGTCGCTGCTTTAATTTCTCACTTTTTCAGGCCCTCTTATATAAGAGTTAATTTATCATGTTTCACCTGTTATCAGTATAAAGGTGATTTCCCAGTCTTCAATCTCTTGTCCTAGCGTCTCTTTATTCTGGGACTCTGTATTATGGCTGCTGCTGCTTCTCCCCCTCTCCTCAACATCTTTATAGAGTTTCTAGCCCATGCATTGGGATGGGGCCAGCTGGGGGAGGGGCTGTGGGCGGTTGGCCAGCCAGCCCATCCCTCTGATTGAATTCCTGGTCAAAACTCCCTTGAGGGGACAATTTTGCATATTAGCCTTTTATTATGTAGGATAATTCATACACTGTAAAATTCATCCATTTAAAGTGTACAATTTAATTGCTTTTGGTTTATTCACAGAGTTGTAGCCATTACTACATTCTAAATTTAGACCAGTTTTATTACCACAAAAAGAAACCCTCACCTATTAGCAGTCACTCCTCATTTTCCCCTTCCCTCTTAGCCTCCTCCCAGCCCTAGGACTACTAAACAACTTTTTGTCACGATAGCTATGCCTAAATAAATAAATTATATAATATGTGGTTTTTGTGTGACTGGCTTCTTTCACGTCACATAATGTTTTCAAGGCTCATAAACAAGTATCTTTATATTGCCAAACATGTCATTGTTTATCTACTCACCTGTTGGTGGACATGTGGGTTGTTTGGTTTGGGGGTATTATGAAAGATGTCACTATAGGGACATAGGTTTTCATTTCTTTTTTCTTTTTTTTTAATATGTTTTATTTGTACAGAGAGGGAGGGAAAGAGATAGAGAGTTAGAAACATCGATGAGAGAGTCATCGATCAGCTGCCTCTTGCACACCCCCTACCGGGGATGTGCCCGCAACCAAGGTACATGCCCTTGACCGGAATCGAACCCGGGACCCTTCAGTCCCCAAGCCGACGCTGTATCCACTGAGCCGAACCGGTTTCGGCGGTTTTCATTTCTTTTGGGGATATACTAGGAATGGATTTGCTGGATCATACGGTAATTTTATGTTGTTTCACATTTTGCGAAATTGCCAAACTGTTGCCAAAAGTGGCTATATTCTATATTCCCGAGACCAGTGAATGAGATTTACAATTTCTACACATCCTCTCCAACCGGTTTAATGTCTGTTTGTTTTACTGTAGCCATCCTGGTGGGTATGAGTGTTTCATGGCTTCTTAACCAGGAACTTTAGGAGTCCCCCAGGGCTCTCTTAATTTTTTATTTTATTTTATTTTATTTTATATATATATATTTTATTGATTTTACACAGAGAGGAATTGAGAGGGACAGAGTTAGAAACGTCGATGAGAGAGAAACATCAACAAGCTGCCTCTTGCACACCCCCCACTGGGGATGTGCCTGCAACCAAGGTACATGCCCTTGACCGGAATCAAATCCGGGACCTTTCAGTCCGCAGGCCAACGCTCTACCCACTGAGCCAAACCGGTCCCGGCTCTCTTAATTTTTTAGATGGCCATAGATGAGCTGCAAGACGTCTAAAAAATTAGGTGACGTTGTATACAAAATTATATTTGCAAATGTGTATATATATTTTTTCAAAGGACAGCTACCTTTTTTTTTAAATATATATTTTTATTGACTTTTTACAGAGAGAAAGAGAGAGGGATAGAAAGCTAGAAACATCAATGAGAGAGAATCATCGATTAGCTGCCTTTTGCACCCCCCCCCCACTGGGGATGTGCCCTCAACCAAGGTACATGCCCTTGACCGGAATCGAACCTGGGACCTTTCAGTCCACAGGCCGACGTTCTATCCACTGAGCCAAACCGGTTTCAGCAACAGCTACCTTTCTTAATTTCTGAAGGGGACTGTGATACAGAAAGGACTAAAAAGCACTGAATATTCAAAATGTGCTGTATAATTTGTTATTCTTAACTCTGTTTCCATCTAATCTAGTTTTATCAAAAATGATTCTGGGCACCTTCCCCTTTTCTCCTCTGCCTTCACCCCCCTCTTTATTATCACTAATAAATCTATCCGTTTTCAGTAGCTATGCTGTCAAAAACAGATGTTTCATAAGTAAGAAAAACTGACCAGAGCAGCATAATACATTACAGTACAAACATAGTGGGATTTAGATGCTAAGTTTGCTATACAAATATAGGACCAGACTTGGAAAGTTATTTCTAACTCATGTTTTTCTCTTTCAGGGTGATCTTGGAGAAAGAAGGACCTCGTTCTTTGTTTAGAGGATTAGGCCCCAATTTAGTGGGGGTGGCTCCTTCCAGGTAAAAAACAAAAACAATTGTCTCAGTCTTTTCTGTTTGAAGCTGACTTAGGGGTGTCGAACTCAATCAGAGAAGGGGCCAAAATCTAAAATCCAGCCTAAATCGCGGGCCGAATGGTTTACTGAACAGTCATAAACTGTCATTGTGATGGAAACGCAGCGGAGTGCAGTGGCAGTGCGGGCCACATTGCAAGGCCTGGTGGGACGGATTTGGCCCGCGGGCCTTGTGTTTGACACATGTGAAAGGGAGATGGTGAGGAGAAGGTGGTAAGGCTAAGGCAGTGTGATGTAACAGACCGGTCTCAGGAAGCATCTGATAGATTGGGGAGGTTGCACCATGCGAAGGTGCAAAGGAACTCATAGTGAGATTACTGTGAAGCAGTTTTTGTGCCAAGTTTAAAAGGCAAAGAACAAACTAAAGCGACTAGCAGAAAGAAAGGGGAAGACCTGGATCTTCAGAACTAATCCTGTTTTTTGGTTTAGGAGACAAGCTAAACAGAATGGTTTCAATCCCTATTCAAGAAGCCAAAAGAGGCCTTCATACATTAATTTGACATTTTTCTCAGATATAGTTTTATCTTAGATTGACTTCTTCCATGATAGAATCCTGTGCAGATTTCACATTCAGAGTGAAAATGCATACCCAGCTTTCTGTATCCAAACAATATACTAGGCCCATGGACTCTTTTCTCCCTTAAAAAATTACCCAAATTTTGTTCTTACTATAAAGACTAAAAAAAAATAAGTATAGCAAGCTTGTCCTTCTACCTTAAGCACATCACCTCTTTCTCACCCAGTGCACATTCCCTCCCACACACACTCTTTTTTTAACAAAACCATCATTAATAAACAGTGCAGTGGATTTCTGGCCTGTCATGTACATAAAATGTATATGTAGACTTAACTACCCTTTACATATATTTAATATTAAAAATATTTTGCCCAATTTGTCTTGAATGATTTTTCCATGAAAATGTATAGAATTTTTTCAAAATTGCATAGTATGACTATTCTCTTATTAATAAGCATTTTTTTTAATTGATAAGCCTTTAGGTTTATTTTCAGATTTTTGCTGTTAAAAACAATGGTTTTGCGCCTTTGGCAATTGTGGCTCAGTTGATTGGAGCATCAGCCCACATACCAAAAGGTGGTGAGTTTGATTCCTGGTCAGGTTACATACCCAGGTTGTGGGTATGTACACATCAAATTAATGGTTCTCTCCCTCTGTTAAAAAACAACAACAAAAATAATGGTTTTGTGAACTTCACTGTACCTTTATCTTTGAGTACTTAACATATTTCTTTCTTTAGGATAGTTACCTAAAAGTAGAATTTTCTGGATAAAAGGGCACTTGCACATTTACAATTAATAAATATTGCTCATCTGCCTTCTGAAAGGATATTCTACATTTTTATTCTCAAATAGTGAATTATTTGCTCTTTATTCATGTATTACCAATTTTGGTTACTATTGATGTCTTTCTTAAAAATATATTTTATTGGCCGAAACCGGTTTGGCTCACCGGTAGAGCATCGGTCTGCGGACTGAAGGGTCCCAGGTTCGATTCTGGTTAGGGGGGCATGTGCATTGGTTGTGGGCACATCCCCAGTGGGGGGGGTGCAGGAGGCAGCTGGTCAATGTTTCTCTCTCATTGACGTTTCTAGCTCTCTATCCCTCTCCCTTCCTCTCTGTGGAAAATCAATAAAATATATTTAAAAAATATATATTTTATTGGTTTTAGAAAGGAAGGGAGAGGGAGGAAGAGAGAGAGAAACATCAATGATGAGAGAGAATCATTGATTGGCTGCCTCCTGCATGCCCCTTACTGGGGAACAAAACCCAGGCATGTGCCCTTGGCCAGAATCAAACCTGGGGTCCTTCAGTCCACAAGCAGATGCTCTACCCATTGAACAAAACCAGCTAGGGCTTTTTATGTCTTTTAATACTTGCCAAATAGATTAAACATGATTTTTCACTGTTTTAATATACATTTGTTTAATTTTTTATATAATCACACCCTCCTTGCAATTGTTTGTATCTCTTTTGTGAATTATCTGTGTATATTCCTTGCTTATTTTCTCATTAGAATGTCTTTTTCTTTTAAAAAAAAATTTATTGATTTTTTTACAGAGAGGAAGAGAGCGGGATAGAGAATCAGAAATATTGATGAGAGAGAAACATTGATCAGCTGACTCCTGCACAACCCCTACTGGGGATGTGCCACAACCAAAGTACATGCCCTTGACTGGAATCGAACCCGGGACCTTTCAGTCTGCAGGCGGAGGGTCCATCCACTGATGGACCCTCCGCCTTTTCTTTTTTTAAATATATTTTTATTCTTTTTCTTTTTTTAAATATATTTTTATTGATTTCAGAGAGGAAGGGAGAGGTAGAGATGAGAATCATTGATCTGCTGCTTCCTGCACTCCCCCTACTGGGGATCCAACCCACAACCCAAGCATTTGCCCTGACCAGGAATTGAACTGTGACTTCCTGGTTCATAAGTTGATGCTCATTCAGTGAGCCACACCTACCAGGTTCTTTTTTCTTATTGATTTCTAGGAATGCAGTGTTTATTTATGTTCACGATTTGGCATCATTAAATGTATCCTATATTTTCCTTTTTCATAAAACAGAACGTTTTATTTTAAATTATATTCACTCCCTCCCCCCTTTTTCTTTATTCTCAACTGAGGATATGTTTATTGATGAGCGAGAGCCAGAAAGAGAAAGGGAAACATTGATGTGAGAGAGGAACATCAATCAGTTGCCTCCCATACATGCCCCAACTGGGGATTGAATCCTAGACCTTTTGGTGTATGGGGCAACACTCAAGTTATTTTTTCTTGTTTAAGGAAATTATGAAGTGATCTGTGTATAGTACAGATTAGAATATACTATAGTATCTCAAAATTGTTTAACATACATTTTGATCAATTGGGTCAGTTTTATCTTTCTTTTCCCTCCCTCCTCTCCCCTAAAAATATATATGTGCTCATACCATATTTCTTTAATTCAAATGTATTTAATTTAGCCTTAGTGCCACCTAGGTCTTCCAGCCTTATTCATGTGTTTTCAAAATTTTAGACAAATACTTTCAGTTATAGTTAGTTGTTCTCAGAGTATTGGGGCAGGGTGAAGGGATGTCTGTTTGAGGAACTTTATTTATATTTGAGGGTTTTTTTCTTATTTTTTTTGTGTTGTTTTGTGTGTATGTGTGTGTGTTTTTCCCCAGAACTCACCCAAGGATATTTTTCTATCACTTATAGATACAGTGGGAGGGAGGAAAAGGAGTGGGGGAGGGAGGAGAAAAACATCAACTGGAGAGAGACATGTCAATTGGTTGCTTCCCACATGGCCCTGACATACCTGGCCAGGGGAGGAACCTGCAACCCAGGTACCTTGACCAGGAATTGAGCCTGCTCTAACCACTGAACTCATCGGTCTGGGCACATGTCTTCTTCATGTCATTTAAGTCTTATGAATTAAGCAATATGCCTATTGATAAAATTTAAATCTTTATTTTAGAGCAATATATTTCGCTGCTTATTCAAACTGCAAGGAAAAATTGAATGGTGTATTTGATCCTGATTCTACCCAGGTACACATGATTTCAGCTGCAATGGCAGGTATGACTATATAATATTAAAAAAAATTTTTCTGAAACTTAGAGACTTAATATATTGAATTATGATAAATTTGTAAAGTTAAGACAATGTGCTTCTAATTGATTAGCATCCATAAACATGATTTTTGCATTTATTAGTATATAATAAATTTGACCAGGCCGTATATGTAAGAGCTGTTGTCATTTGGCATTTTGTAGTTAGGAATTTGTGATAGCACACAGGTAATAGACATTGTCTTGCGTAGTTTACTGAATATTTAACTGATCACTTTTAACCGTTGTAAGAATCCAATCATAATTACAGTATCAGTAAGTTATGGAGCTGTAATTTATTCTTCTCTCCTCAATTTCTGTTAGTGCCTTTTCCTTTCTGCTGCATGTTTTGGCTTCTGTCTGAAATGTGCCGGCAGTTCTTGGTAAAGTATTCATTTTGTCCTGTGCTCAAATGCTGACATTTTTGTGAGTGATGTATTACTGATAACTCAAGAGTTACTATAATGTATGTATATTGAAAAATATGTTTAGCATTTCGCATAAATCACACTGGATGGCACTTGAAATCTAGGCACTGGTTATGTATGTGCTTGCTTTAGAAATGTTTTCAGGAATTCTTCTGTCATCATTGAGTATGTATGATTCGGAATTAAAACAACCAGTCCTGGGCTTCTCTCTGCCCTGCCTTAAAGATACACTAAACTGGTAGATTGGTTTGGCCAGTCTGGCTCTGGAATCATTTTTTTGCTACGCATATTAAAGCCATGACCTTTGGTTCTCATTAGAAAAATCTCTACAGTTTTTTGAGGTTTGTTGCATATTGAACCATGTCTCTCATTTCTAAATTATGTTAGACTTTATAAAGCAAATAATATGTACTTTCTTCACTTGTTGATGAATTAATTGTCAGTTATGTGCTTAACAATGAGTGCCTTAAACTGTTAACCATTTTCTGTTTAGAAATAAATTGGATCAATTTGAACCACATACTTAACGAACTAAGTGTAAGTTTGAAATGCTAATTTCTGAAAGATCGATTGCCATATAATGTAACATATACCTTACAAAATATTTTCAAGGCTTTTTATAGTTAGTAATTGTTGATTAACTCATTGACATTTTAAAGCTGGAAGATAAAACTTTAAAGATCAAGGCAACATACTCTATTTACCAACGTGGAGAGCTCTTGGGAGAGTTAGGAATTGATGTGAACCTCCGTCACCTTATCCTTAGAGTGAGGAGGTTGTCCTGCATAGATTTGCATCTTGAGAAGTAGTTCTTCAGTATCATAGAGGTCACCTACTTAAAATGATATTTTTAATGTACTTTTTATAGATGTTGAATATGAATAGATATGACTTTTCCTCTGCACATTCAGCAGGTATAAGGTAAAAGTTAGTAGCTAATTACAAAGTATAGGATCTTTAGAATATGTTTCTGGGTTACTAGTGTTTAAACATTTTTGTTTTTTAACCCCAGAAACTTTTAAAGAAATGTTAATCTTTTATTTTTGAAATAATTAAAACCAAGAAAGTAGATCAGCAGTCATTTTAAGTGGAGGAAAGTTGGTAGATAGTGAGATTGCAAATTCAGTTTCAGAATTTTCTGAGTCCCACTGGAACTTTATTTTTTCCCCATTAGAGTTTCTTATCAGAATTTATTATATTTGATTCACACTGCAAAGAATTTCAGTGGAATTGTGTTTTGATTTTTTTTTCTCCCAGATATATACAAGTATTAACTTTGTTTTTATTTTAAACATTGATACTATTTCTCAACTTGAATTCCTTGAATTTTGGATATTGATAGTCTTATACTGTTTAGAGATTATTGCACTATACACTTGTGTAATTTGAAAATACTTCCATTTGTTTGCAGTTACATTTTTTTCCCTAAGATTGTGCTTGCAGAACTATCTTGCATTGTTTACAAGCATTAACATTTAGCTTTTCGGTTGTTATATACATAACTACACGGTTGGTGAAACGGAATGGTCCCATGCAGACTCATTAAGGTAGCCTTTTGCCCCCTTCGTTCTTGAAATAATCTAGACCAGACTGCTCTGGTTTTTCTTCAGGATCATTTTTAGAGGCCTTATAGATATGAATGGGGGTGCAAAGTGTTTAGAGGCAGTCATGTGAAAATTGTTTTCTGATTGGCTATTAAAAAAAAATGCTAACCTTGTCACTTTAATATCAAAAAACACACTAAAAGAAGTCCATTAATGATATTGCCTGCTATATTGTACCACATCAAGTAACTCACACATTAAGGATATAGTAATATTGTACTTTGTACATAATTTTTATTTCAAGTCCTCAAATCATTTGCATTTTATCCATATGAACTATAATTACTAAATTCTTTTAGGAAAAAGGACATTTTTAAGTGAATCTTATTTTCATTTGTTGTAGTATTTCAAGGGAATACAAAAGAATTGTAAACCTCTAAATTGAGCTCTAAATGTCCATACACTGATTTTTTTTTTTGTAAGGCTATTTAGTCAAATTAAGTAATGTTGATTTTTTTGTGCTTTACCTGCTTTTTTTTTTTTTTTTTCTTCCTACATATGACTTTTGTTAGACTAAATGAAACTTAGCTATTGAGGATATTTGTATAATTTTACTTAAATGAACTTGCATATCCCTCTGTATATACCTACACACAGCTGTGTATTAAAAAAAAAATAGAATTAAGTTTTTTTATAGTAATTCCCAATTTTTAAATTTTTTAATCTAGAATATACTTCTATATACAGCATTACAGATTTAAAGAAAATGACTTCCAACTTTTATTGGATTATATATTCACAAAGTTATCACTCAATTTTTAAAATACATGTAATTGTTTAACATTTACTAGGTTTGCTTATAGCATTTATCTTTATTTTTCAAGACATATTTTTCTGTTTGACTCAAAGTTTACTATCAAAGGTTAAGTTTTTGAGTAAAAATTTAAATAGAAATTATGTCTTGCATATATTTGTCCATGGCAGTTCATTCAGCCAGATTGATGGTTGGTCAGGTGCTTAGTGTGTTTGTCTGTAAACATTCTTCCTGTTTTTTTGTTTTGTAGAACACAAGAAATTAAATACAAAATAACCCAAAATATTCCATAAAAATGGATGTCAAAATTACTGGCCATAGTGCAAAAGGTGAAAGGTACTACTATAGCAGCATATACTATACTGTATTTCATTTAAAAATTATAATTAAAAATGAAGTTCCTTGAATATTCTGGGTGATTTTTTTTCTTTTAAGATTGACTAAGTGAGCTGATTATTGTGATTTCAACTTGGATCATGGTAGATGATAATGGCAGGAAAATGGGATATGATTATCCTCTCCAAATATTTTATTAGATTTCCCTTTGACAAGGTTAGCATTTTTTTCTTTAAGGCATAATTGTTCTTCTTTTAGGTAAGTATTTGGACTCTGAAATTGCTGCAGATGGCAAAATTTTCAGTACTCGGAACATTAAAAAAAAAAAATTATGGCCTGGTATTCCTTCCTTTTTTTTTTTTTAGCTTAAAATTTTCAAGAAGTTAGATCTCACCGTAAATATTTCTCAAATCCTTCCAATGGGATTCATTTTGTACACATGTTTCTGATGAGGTCACTGCTTGTTGTTATGATACAGAAAAGCCTGTGTCTATTTTAGGCATTTACTGTACATTTCTCCCGAGAAAAGAGTGAGATCGTGTCATCTCATGCTCCCCATCCGCAGGTCACTTCCTGTAGAAATATGGACTAACTTAAACCTCGTGAGTACTGATCTGAGCATCTCTTGCAGCCTCTAGTTATAAGAAATACTCCCTGGGAATTTATAATAGCTGTGGAATTAATAGGAGGCGGGAAATGAACTTGTATTTCCGGAATTTGTGTATGCATTATCTGAATATTTTATAAAGCTTTAATTCCGATCCCTTTATAATATTCCTTCTAGAAGGACAAATGGATTAACTTTTCAATCATCATGTAATAAAAGCCTGGGGTCCTCAGGTTGGCCATAATTGTTTTGACCACTAAAGAATTGGATAACACTATTTAAGATATACATACTAGTTATAACTGGTATCATAGCATCCTACAACCTCTAGAAAAAATAATTGTTTGCAGAGCATAACCTATTTTAAATGTCTAATACAGTGCTTTCTATTCTCTTGTCTGTTGATACTTGGCTTTTTTTCTACTCTCACAAAAAACATTGATCTTAATACCTACCATTACTTTCCAAATAAATGGACGATAAGAATATATAGGATCTTAGCTGTTTTTATTTAAAAAATTTTTTAGTAGTATTAATATTTTTCCCTTAGAAAGTTAGGGTGGGCTTTGTTACTAAAGAAGTTAATTGAAATAAAAAATATTAAAAGTGCAATATTACAGGTATCACTCACTTAATGAAATAGACATTTTCAGCAAGTTTACTATAAATGGGATTTCTGTTAACCTGGTTTTGGTTTATATCAGCGATTTTCAACCAGTATGCTGCAAGAATTTTAAAATATGACATATGATACCTGACTATTTAGTCAGAAATAGACCTCTTTTCCTTTATATTGGCAAATTAAAAAAAAGAAAATTATAAGAGCCAACAAAACAATAGATATCTGCTGTGAATGAATCAAAAATATCTTTTTGTGTGTGTGTGTGTGCGCTGCAGATTTTTAGTAATTAGTTTATGTGTGCCATGAGATGAAAAAGGTTGAAAATTGCTGGGTTTATGTTATCAAGTGGAGTCTTAGATGAAGCAAAACTTAAAATTGTATTTTAAAAGTTTTTCAAAACTTCCTAATAAAACACTAACGACACTACTAACAGTATGGCCAGTGTTATTGCCACTTTGCTTTAACTGACTGTGGAGCAACATTAATTCTTAACCTACAAATAGCTTCTTCATAGACCTCTAAGTCAGTTTTAATATTTAACAGGGTTCTCAGAATATTACTATGGATTAGCATAATAACAAAATGTCACAAAATTTAAATGCCAAAATAAAAAGTATTTGGAAATTTCAGGGCACCATTCCCAGTATCAATTGTGTATGTTTTCTTAGAAAAAATAAGAAGATATGTTTAGTTTTGGCTGTTTGTCCATTTAAAATTGCCTTACCATATTTAATTCTAAATTAGTGATACATTTTTGTTTCTTCCCACTTACTTCACTTTTTGAATTAATAGATTATACTTTTCTAAATTTAATTACCCTAATAATATCTACTTAATTTATTAGAGTATCTTTTGTAAGAGATCATTAGCCAAAAAGCTGTGGATATGTCTAAATTCTTTAACCTAATGGTTTGCTGGCAGTTAGGCTAGTGTCCGTAAGTGTTAAAACTATATAGTAAGCACAGGTTACTGCTAATAGCAATTATATAGGGATTAGATGACAACATTCTCTCACCTGAATTTTGATGTATTCTGTTCCATAAATTAATTTGTGTCTGGAAATGAATTTTAGTTAAGTGAGAAATACCTGTTGTTTGCTTTCTGTCTTTGTTTAATATATACAGAGAATAATTAAAATTATAACTTAAGAGTATTTTGAAATTTCATTTTTTATAATATAAATGTTTAATGTAACATTTTAAAGTTTACATATCTGGAGGTTTTTCTGCCTCTGAGAAATTTTGTGACTTGGAAGAGTATTAAGCTTTGGGTATTAAGTTTCTATTTTTAGAAGTAGAACATAATTACTTTTTAAAATACTTTGATGCTTATCTTCTTTTCAAATAAAGTGTAATAAGTTGAATGAGATTTTTACCTAGACAGGCTGGGGTTGTTTTGTTTGTTTGTTTGTTTTGTTTTTTGTTTTATTTAGTTTAATATAAGAATTCCCTATTTTGGCCTTTTTAAATTTTCACAGAATAATTAATAAAAACCATTATGTGTAATGTAGATTATTTTGATTTGATTAGCATTCATTGTTTGTTTGTTTTTTACTAATAAACCCCTAATATTGCTGTACATTCATTTGGCTAATACAAATATTTAAGTTTAAAAATAAAGAATTATTAAATTAAGGATATGACCAGAATACTGATGTCTGGTTCATATTAGCTTGAAAGAAAAATTTGAGTATCTTTAGTTTGACTTTCACTTAGAAAAATGAGGTTGAAGAGAAGAAAAATATGTACACAATAAAACTTCATTCTCATACTAGGTCATGCAAGAGATCTTTTCAAAACAAAATATATAAATTGATCTGACAGTTTCATATTTTTCATCTCCTTCCTGTTGCTAGAATATAAGTGTGGAAAGAATCTTAGTCCTGGCAACCTATCCAACAATTTAAATTTTTTTTATTTAGTACTAACTAATGCTTATAAAATTGTTGGTCCCGTTTTAGTTTTATACATAAGTATGTAGTATTTAAAAGCACTTAGAAAGAAGGAGACTAACCATTACAAGATTCTTAAAGGAGTTATATAAAACTTTTATTTCATTTATTTGCTTGATAGATTTGATTTGAGCACCCCTTTGTGAAACATTTGGCTATTTCTGCAGTATCAAAGCAGTGGATTAAGGGAGTAAAATTTGAGTTAGCTAATTATCTAATATTATAGAAAGGGAAAAGAACCTGTGTAACTGAATTCCAGTTTGTATACAATTTAGTAAAATTATTTTGCATTTATCCCTAATATACACCACAGCATTTTGGTTTCCAAAAGTACTTTACTCATATTAAATGTGTTGGTTGTAGTCCACCTTTCTAAAAATAATATGCTTGACCTGCTAGTATTCAATAGAAAGTATTAATTCAGTTTTAAAAGTAAACTAGAGGTGCCTGTACCCCAAGTTTCTCTCTTTAGTGTCTGTAAAAGTCAGAGGGAAGTTTCCATTTGTAACTTTTTGAACCTTTGAGTTTTTGTATGTGTTTAAGTGGATGAAAAATAGATCTGTCCTATTAATCCTAACAGAAACCTTTCCTCTTTGATACCATTATTTTAACAGTATTAAGTATATGTTTATGTAAAGCATTCATAAGGCCAAACAACAGCCTTTCTGTTACACAGTCAGCTCAAGGTTAAATATTAGTAAATGCTGAGTCCATTTGGACAAAGTGGTTTGTGATGTTAATCGGACCCCACGTTTAGTGATTGTAGTATTTGCATGCCAAAAAGCCCTAGAACACACAAACTTTTTATATATTTGTCTATAGAAATGGGTTTCTGAATTTAGTGAGAGAGTAGAGGCCATTCCAGAGGATATTCTGAATATTTTGGGAGAGAAATTTATATATACGGTAGTCAGATTTTGCTCTTAAAACATTATGTTTTAGTTATTATGGTCAGAATTTGAAAATGTAGTTTGGAAATAAAGTACAAATGTTCATGTTTATATGGATTTATAAATAAAAGCATAAAGCATATGTCAGTTAATAATTTAAATATTTATTTGCATTTTCTTTAATATAGATTTATATAATTTTTAAAACCTTAGAATAATAGTGTATTCATTTTTACCAGAGTTCATTTTAAACATGTTTGTTTAGGTTTTACCGCAATCACTGCAACCAACCCCATTTGGCTTGTAAAGACTCGGTTACAGCTTGATGCAAGGTATGTTATTAAATTAAAACAAAATTATTAAACTTGGTTTCAATTAATTTTTTTCTATAAATTTATATCAGTGAGATTTCAGAGTCTCCTTTTTTGCTGCTGAATTCTTTTGTTTTGAACATAGTGATTCGTGATGTTAATTGGACCCCAAGTGGGTCTACCATCAGAAGCAAAAGCAATATAGTAGTTGGCAGTATGAGACTTTCAGGGAAGAAAGTGTATCATGTGTTGTGTTTTTAAATAAAAGAAGAAAGAAAGAAAGAAGAAGGATATATTAACCTAGCCCAAGTAGTTATGGGAGGTTATAATCGATCTCTCAACAGCTAAGTAATTAACATGATCAATCAATTTAGACTACATCTTTGAGGACCATTGCTCACATTCAGTAACCTTATACACAGAAAGTCTGGCTTGGGATTTTGCTCTCCTTTATTCACAGACTTCATCTGTTACCACTGACAATTTTCTGGTAACAAGATTCATTCATTCGACAAATCTATATTGAGCAGGCACTGATAGGTTCTAGATATACCAGGAAACAGTGGTGACCAACTTTGACGGAACAGTCAAGGAATGGTTTTTTGAGCCCAATTTAAGCAGAGGCAACAATCAGTGCAAACCAAACAGGTTCTAAGTTTAGGGCCGTTGGCATGTTCTGGGATCTGAGAAAAGGCCAGAAGCAAAGCAGCTTAGTCTTGCCATCTCAGTTTCTGTTGGCCTTTAGAACAGAGGATGGGGAGAAGCTGATACTGTTAAGTAGAGACATGATCCCATCTGGTGTATAATAATAATGGTAATAATTTTGAAACCAACTTAGCCTTTCAGTCTAGAGTAGACTGCTATATTCTAGGCAAGTAGTGTTATATTTTATAGACTATAAATAAAACTGATATAAGAAATGATTAATAATTACAGTTGATTAAAGATCTCTTTTTTACATTCTGTCTTACTGAACTGCATAATGTTTGAAGATTTGAAAAGAAATGTCTAATTCTTTCATCTGGAATACTTTTTAATGAAATCTTACGTGTTGTAGCAAAACTCAAAAGTGTATTTCCTTTTTTTTTTTTTTTTAATATATTTTATTGATTTTTTAAGAGAGGAAGAGAGAGGGATAGAGAGATAGAAACATCGATGAGAGAGAATCTCGATCAGCTGCCTCTTGTATACCCCCTACTGAGGATGTGCCCGCAACCAAGGTACATGCCCTTGACCAGAATCAAACCTGGGATCTTTCAGTCTGCAGGCTGATGCTCTATCCACTGAGCCTAACCGGTTTCGGCAAAAGTGTATTTCTTAAAGCCAAACATCTGAAAGATAATAATGATGAATAAGAAAAACCAAAGGTTAGACAAAGTGTGAGATGCCAGCCGATTTTGTACTGTTATAAACTAGTTGTATTCTTCAGTATGTTATAGGATGGATTTATAGGGAATCCAGGAAAAGCATGGAAAAAATTCTTTAATATTATTTTTTCACTTATAGTTGTAACACAAATTAACATATCTTCTTAGGCTTAGGAGTAAGGAATGGGACGAGGTTGAGGTAATCATGAAACTGATTTAAATATGCTAATTTATAACACTGCAACCAAGAACAGAGCTGAGTATTTGTTTGCATGTTACCCTTCGGGACTTTTAGCATTTTCAACTTTATAAGCAAGGATCTGATGGCAGAAACTCATTCCAGATGGTTGCTTGAGTTATTCAGCTAAGTATTCAATGTCATTTGTGAAGACAGGCCTTAGTTCATAAAATTGGAAGAATTTGTAGATTATGAGGTAGGTGTCTTCATTATGGTTTTTATTTTATGTCAGAAACAGGTTATGTATAATTTATAAAGAGGTAAATCTTCTATTTCTTTCCCTGTGGGTAACATTTAAACCCTTTTCTTATAAATGGGGTTCTATTGGAGGAATCATTATGTGAGGCTATAAATATTTTTACAGACTCAAAATTCTATACTTGTCAGAATAGATGCTGTGCCCGTAAAAAGCAGCACTAAGAACATTTTCTTGGGCCCAATGTTCGATGAATACTTGGTAACTGTACAGATCCTTGTTCACTACTCACTAGGATGCTGAAATGAAAGGTATGGCCATGGCCTTTAAAGGGTCATAGTAAGTTAGTCTTAAATTCACCCGTCACTTTTTGAGAAGAACTGGGTGGGGTTGGAAGAATCCCTCAAGTGCACAGAAATTAGATTAATCAGGCTTTTGTGATATACTGTCATCATTAGTGTCTCAGTCATTTTTTATGTTATTAAATGCAAAAGAAAACTTAGAACTGGATTTAATATGTATTTTTTGTTTGTTTTTATCTTTAGCTTCAGTCATAGTATATTTGAACTAAAGGATTTTTTAAAAAATATATATTTTATTGATTTTTTACAGAGAGAGAGAGAGCTAGAAATGTCAATGAGAGAGAAACATTGACCAGCTGTCTCCTGCACACTCCCTACCAGGGATGTGCCCGCAACCAATGTATTTGCCCCTGACCAGAATGGAACCTGGGACCTTTCAGTCTGCAGACCGACGCTCTACCACTGAGCCAAACCGGTTTCGGCTGAACTAAAGGATTTTGTTGCTTATCCCTACAATACAGACTTTAGTGAGGACATGAAATTGAAAATTCAGTGCAATATATTTCACATTCAGTCAAACTACACACGTTACCCATCTAATATGACACATTTGGGATAAAAGAATACAAAATCTAAAATGAATGTTTTAAAATTCTGATTTCATTTCTTCATAAGGGAATTATTCTTTATATCAGAGTGGCATGTTTCTACTATATTTTATTTTCTTTATTTAAAAACCAATACTACTTTACTTACATTAAAAAGATTTTTATTTTGCTTTTCAGGAACCGTGGGGAAAAGCAAATGGGCGCTTTTGAATGTGTTCGTAAAGTGTACCAGACTGATGGACTAAGAGGATTTTATAGGGGCATGTCTGCTTCATATGCTGGAATATCAGAGACTGTTATCCATTTTGTTATTTATGAAAGTATTAAGCAAAAACTACTGGAATATAAGATTGCTTCGACGATGGAAAATGATGAAGAGTTTGTAAAAGAAGCAAAAGATTTTGTGGGAATGATGCTGGCTGCTGCCACCTCGAAAACTTGTGCCACGAGTATAGCATATCCACACGGTGAGAGAAGATGTATTTCTATGGGTAATATTTTGTTAATTCAGAAATACTCTCCCACCCCAGCCATTAGCCCACTTATTAGAGAATTTAGAATTTTACTGAACTTCCATGTAACAAAATACAGTTCTTAGCATTCATCATAATGGGATTAAATATGTATAAGTAATACAAAGCGATTTTAATAGATAATATGCTATAATAGCATGGAATGATATAGCGGGAGCTCTGGACACATTTTAAAGCAGAGTCAGATTCCAAGCAGATGACTTTGGGCAAATTATTTTTTTATTTTATTTTAAACATGGATATAGTGCTATATATACTTTATACATGCTATAGACACATATACTTTATTGCTAATTTACATAAAAATCCTGCAAAGTCTAGGTATGTGAGAACATAACCATAACTGTCTTCATTTCTAAGAGGGAAACAAAAAATGCTAAGATTATGTAACTTAGTATACTCTGTGATGGAGTCCAATTTATATATACATATATAGCCGAGACCGGTTTGGCTCAATGGATAGAGTGTCGGCTTGGGGACTGAAGGGTCCCAGGTTCGATTCCGGTCAAGGGCATGTACCTTGGTTGCGGGCATATCCCCAGTAGGGGGTGTGCAAGAGGCAGCTGATCGATGACTCTCTCTGATCGATGTTTCTAACTCTCTCTCTCTCTCCCTCTCTGTACAAAATCAATAAAATAAAAAATAATTAAAAAAATATATAAATACATACATATATATATATATATATACACACACACACACACTTAAAATTTCAGAGAGGAGAGGATGGCAGGGGAGGGTGGGAGAGAGAGATACATCAATATGAGAGAGAATCATTGTTTGGCTGCCTCCTGCATACCCCCTACTGGGGATGGAGCCTGCAACCCGGGCATATGCCCTTGACCGTAGTCAAATGTGAAATCCTTTGTGTACATGCATATAAGTACAACCAATGGACATAAAACTCTGGGGAGGGAGGGTATGTGTGGGAGGGAGGAAGGGGGGCAAAAAAAAATATCAATAAAATATATTTTTAAAAAATACAAAAAAACAAAAACAAAGCAGTATGTATCTGCTATTGTTTGAATAAAGATGTGAACAAGCAAAAAAAAACACAAAAAAACGTGGAATCCTTCAGTCCACAGGCTGACTGAACCAAACCAGATAGGGCCTAGAGTCCAAAATTGAATTGAAGTCTGTATTCCCAAATATCAAGCTATTTTACATTATTTCATGTTGGCAAATAAGTATATATGAGTGGTTTCTTTTATTTCTAAGTTTTACAATGTTAGCTAAGAAAATAACTTAAGAATTGGTCTGCAACATGCTGAGTTTTTCTAGTAACTTTGTTTTAAATGTAGTCTTTGATTTTGGTGTATTTGAGGTTTGTTTTGGTTCAGGTTTTTAATCTAAGCGTTTCATTATTTATTTATTTTGCAGAGCAAAGGTTTTTGGTGGGGTTTTTTATTTTATTTTATTTATTTATTGAATTTTAGAGAGAGAAACATTCATCTGTTTTCCACTTATTTATGCATTCATTGGTTGATTCTTGTATGTGCCCTGACCGGGGATTAAACCCACAACCTTGGCATATGGGGATAATGCTCTAACCAGCTGAGCTACCTGGCCAGAGCTAATTGCTTCACTTTTGTTACACTAATAAAATCTATAGCCAAAACCAGTTTGGCTCAGTGGGTAGAGAGACGGTCTGGGGACTGAAAGGTCCCAGGTTCAATTCCAGTCAAGGGCATGTACATTGGTTGAGGGCACATCCCCAGTAGGGGGTGTGCAGGAGGCAGCTGGTCAATGTTTCTCTCTCATCAATGTTTCTAACTCTCTATCCCTCTCCCTTCCTCTCTGTAAAAAATCAATAAAATATATTTTAAAAACATTTATATTCACTCTATAAAAGCTAAGGCTCTGTGGTTAAAGCTGTATTAGGAAAAATGAACAGGTCTAGAAAATGAGTATATGCTTTAAAATGTAATTTATGAATAAAAATAACTCTAGCCAAGTTGGACTATGAATTTATCTCAGTTTCCCCAGGAAAATCCTCATTTCTCTTTTTAATATATTTTATTGATTTCCGAGAGAAAGTGAGAGATAGAACATCAGTGGTGAGAAAATAATAATTAATGGGCTGCCTCCTGCAGGCTCCCTACTGGGGATCAAGCCCACAACCCAGGCATGTGCCTTGACTAGGAATTGAATTGCAATCTCCTGATTCAACCACTGAGCCATACTGGCTGGGTAGCAGCTTGTATTTTAAACATTTTCAGTCTTATCTACATGCAATTTTTGTTGGTACATGCAGACCATTGTAGACAGATTAGTAATTCTATTTTCTCGTTGTGCTGTCCACTTTTCTGCTTCTTTCACCTTTGATACCACCTCCATTCCCTTTCCTGCTCCTTCACCTTTTTCCGATCACATTTATTCTCCCTTTCATCTATATCTGGCATACAAAGGATCCTTTTATTTCATTCTGTCTTTCACCATTCAGGAATCGGTGAAATTTTTATAAGTACACATGGCTTTAGCCAGCAATCTTAGAAGTTTGGTGGTGTTATAATGTGACTAGTTACAGTAAGTTACATATCAACACTGCTTATTTATCCTAAGCTTTCACTTACAGTAAATGGGCTGTGTTCAGTATTAAGAGGATGTAAAGATATCACTGATGTTTAAATAAAACGATCTTAATTTTTTTTCCTAAACAGAAGTTGTAAGAACAAGACTACGTGAAGAGGGAACAAAATACAGATCTTTTTTTCAGACACTGTCTTTGGTTGTTCAAGAGGAAGGGTACGGGTCTCTTTACCGTGGCCTAACGACGCATCTGGTGAGACAGATTCCCAACACAGCCATCATGATGGCCACCTACGAACTGGTGGTTTACCTGCTCAATGGATAGCAATGTCAGGCCGCCGGATAGAAAGAGGGAGACCAAAAGAGTACAGTGGACCATGGAGTATCGGAACCAGCATGATGGACAGAAGAAAAATGGTTTGGGAACGTGTCACTATGTCTAAGTGGAAGTCTGGTTGTTGGAATTCAAATAATCATAATCACATTACTTGACCTTTTCAGTAATGTGAATAAAACCTGGCTGCCTTCAAGAAAAAGCCTTTAGAAGCACTCCTTCCTCAAAATTGCCATTTTCTCTACCATGTCCATGGGACACAGCTGCATTTTGTTTATTTGTGGCAGAGTATAGTATTTATTCCATGAATACTTTTCCAGTCTTCTAAACAAAGCCATCCCTAGTTATATACCAGTCTATAAGCTATCCAAAGATAGTATTGGCGGTCATAAATTTCTAACTTTTGGCTTCTGTGTAATTCTTATAAAATAACAGGAATAGTGTGATTCTCACTATCACTTTCACATTAGTCCTTGAGAGGATCTGGCTCAGTACTTTAAAATTAATTATTTGGCATCAGTTGACAACTAATGAAATACTGTCCTAAGTATCTTGACATCTTTGTCATTAAAATGTTTTGGTTCCTCTGCTGCAGCAGATGCTTGCTGTTTAGCATAATGTGGACACAACTAGTTAATTTATGTATCAAAACTCAAATGGTAATAGTTTGGGACAAAATAAACCAGTAAAAATATTGATTTTTTAGGCCATTTCAGCATATCCTCTTCTCTTGAATGAATGCAGTTGTCTTTTCCGTGATTTACTGGTTTTGAACTTGAATTACCACAAGCATTGTTTTCTTAAAATGGAAAAAATTTACCACTCCTGGGTCTTTCTCAATTTGCTTTCACATTAAGAATTTGAACCTCTGGATTTTTTTTCCAGATCTATGATATATAGATTACATTTATTTCATAGAGAAAATGGTAATTTTCAGTTTTGCCCCTCAAGTTTTTTGTTTTGTTTTTAAGGCGACATAAATACCCGGGGCCTGCTATCTGATTGAGCAGGTGAGTGATCCTAATTGGCATGGGATCATTTTGTAAATGACAAACTGCTTTTGCAAAGAAATTTATCCTAGTTTCTTGAATGGTAAATCAGAAAGATTCAAGTTAATTCAGATTAAGTGTGCTAACAGGATATAGCTTTTACATTTTGCTGTTGAGTTCGACTGCACCCTTTAATACTTTACATGTATTATATGTATGACCCTTAGGAAGATGTTGGCTGCAATTCTATTAAGAGGCTTTAGCTTACAGTTGTTGCTGTACAAAAATTTCTACAGTTAACCTCCAATGTGGTACTCATTTCAATACACATGAACTGTACATTTGTGCAATGGCTTTTCCTTAAGAACGACTCTGTGAATGCACTTTGTGGCCTTTCAGCGGGGGAGGTGGTAAAAGGAGAGAATCCCATGTTAAAAAGAAATTTTTTTTAAATATTGGTCATGTATTAGGCAGAAAGTGTTCATAACATTTTTTCTGGACTCTTGGTATGTTTGGAAATCTTTAATGTAAATGGTTAAGTATTCTATGTACACTGTAGTGACCTAACATCGAAAATTATAGCATGTCATTGCAAGCTTCTCTGCTGTCACCAATGAAACACAGTGCCCTCTTAAATTCCTCCCCCTTCTTACCTTCCTTGTAAACAACAATAACTGGATGTTTTTTAGGTGCTTTGGTTGGAATTGAAAACATTCCAATCTATTTGGAGACCAAAGGCAAAATTGACTTTCATTACCTTTGGAATTATTCTTAACTTTTATGGTGAATTTCAGCTTTGATATTTATTGAGGAACATGCCAAAAAAAAAAACCAAACAACAACAACCCACAAAAAAATGGGTTTCTAACTTAAATCTGTAAAGAAAGTCTCCATCTACAGTGTTTGCCTTTTCAGGTGCCACTCGTCCTGCCTAACGTAGTGCCATTTGCTTTGTGAAGATTCGTAAATATTAGTTGTATTGAAGTGGAACAGAGACTCCCCTTAGCTTAATGATCTCAGTACCCCATAAATGCTAAGAATGATATGGAAACCAGCAGCTGAGGAACATCTTATTATTTAGTTGTAGCACATTCATAGCAAGTGTCCTTCAAGGATGAACATGTATTCTATTCCTGTTTATATTTAGCAAGTAAAATTTACGTTGACCTTTAGTGCATAGCTTTTAAAAGTGAGTTTTATATATGCACTGGGAGGAAAAGATCTTAGTCTTAGGCTTTGTTTCTTTGTGCAACAACTGGAAAGGAGCAATGTTGTTTGTTTTCTTTTTACCCCAAAGTACAGTCAGCTGTAGTTTACTTTATGTATGGCAGAGATAATTTGAAAAACAAAAACACTACAAGTTATTTATAAAATTTGCCTCTAAAACACTTCTTTGTAGCTTTTGTTTTTAATTGATGTAAATGTTTAAAAAGAAAAACGTATACCTAAAGCATTGGACTTTTTTTAAAACAGTGTTTTGTTTTCATCTGTTTTCTATCAGATAACATTTCTAATATGAAGGTATTCAGCACTCTACAGATGGCTATGTATTTTTATTGGAGAAAATTAAACTGAACTTTTTCAAGTTAAAGCAGTAGATACTGAAATAGCATACTTTCATAGAGCAGCAGAAAGAACTCTGGTGCCTATGGCTCATAGAAAACAGTCTCCTTAATTTTAAAGTCCAAATTTAAGAATCTCCAAACCCTGTGATTGTGGGAACCTTTACAGTGCTTTTAAATCCAGGAAAAAATTATCACCAAAGCCTTGTCTTGATTTTTATTATGTATGTAACTGTGGAACCAGCCTTTCTGGATGGGGCCCACAAGTAATTGATTTGTAACTTCAAAACCAAGAATAGAATATTATTAGATAATTTAATCCAGCCTTTTGTCTCCTAAAACCTAATGCCCATTGTAGAAAAGCATTAGTATATCAAGACCAGCAGAGTTTGGGTTAAAAACAATGAGGGTTTAACCTTATTGGAGCATAAACATGTCAGTATTTTTATATTTGTGTTAAATCACTAAAAATATTAATTTGAACTTGAAGGATTTGAATGCTAGAAATCAATCTATCCCTTCTTCTCCTGGTGTGGTTCCTGCCTGTCTTTGGTTGTTTACATGCCTTCTGCCCAGACTGTTAGTACAATAGTATATATAGGGACCCTCTGGGTCTGATAAATATAATAGTTTAGGTTTTTCCTCTAATATTGATCATGACTTCAACATTCCTAAGAACAGATAGTTCTGAGTGATTTAAATCGGAAGGAATTATATAAAGACATAATGTACTAACTTTCTGCCTACTCAGATCTCTTCCCTGTCATGCCCTTATATTTCTCATTAAGCTATATACTGCTTTTTATGTTACTCTTTTTTAGAAACTGAAATTCTAGTTTCACTCAGTTTTTGTGTTAAACATTTTGAATGTATACCCCTGTATATGTGAACAATTAAATCTTGACCTTTCAAAGTCATAGCTAAATAATTAACTTCAGGAGTTGATATCTTTTGACCATTTATATGAGGATTGCTATTGTATTCTGTACATGCCTGTAAATTATGTGCATTTCCTCTGTGTTTGTTAACTAGCTGAATTTTATTTGAATTGTGGAAAGTTTAAAAATTAAAATATGCTTATGAAAATATCATGTTTTTCTTTAATATTTTATTGATTTCAGAGAAGAAGGGAGAGAGAGATAGGAATATCAATGATGAGAGAGAATAACTGATTGGCTGCCTCCTGCATGCCTCCTACTGGGATTGAGCCTGCAACCGGTCATGTGCCCTTGGCCAGAATCAAACCCTGGACACTTCAGTCTTCAGGCTGACACTATCCACTGAGCCAAACAAGGTGGGGCCGGTGTTTTTTTAATATATGTAAGGTGACCAGACGTCCCGCTTTTGTCAGGACAAGGGACAAATTGTTAAAAATCGGAACTGTCCCACCAAAAGCAGGACGTCTGGTCACCTTCGATATGTACTAGAGGCCCAATGCACGCACCTTCTTGCAAGAATGGGCCTTCCTTCCCCTGACTGCAGGCACTGCCTTCGCTCAGGCCAGAGCCACCTTTCCGCCTTCGTTCCAGTCCCAAGCCGGGAGCCGCCTTTCCGCCTTCCCACCCTACCCAGCAGCAGGAGCAGTGCATGCAAATTAACTCACCATCTTTGTTGGGCTAATTTGCGTACTCCTGATTGGCTGGTGGGTGTCTCGGATTTGTATCTTTTTTATTAGTGTAGACCCTAATACTCCGGTATGGTGAGGATATAATCATACCTTAGGATGAGCATTGCCATTTTCAAGTTGTATGTTAGGCTTCTATCTGCTAGGCCTGGTGAAATCTCTGCAAATCAAAAGGTCAAAGAATCAAACTCATAGTTCAGAAAGAAATTTCTGTTCCACATTTTACACAGGTGTATTGATCTTTAAGTCCTGTACTTTTTAAATATGCAGTTTGCAAAGAACATCTGAGAAATTGAAGAAAGATTGTTATTTGTTTAATACCTTCCTAGGATTTAATGTGTGTGTTTTTATTAGTAGCTTTTTTTGTTTGTTTTAGTTCCAGCTTTTAGGAAAGCTAAGGTATTTAAAAGTAAAAAGCTGGAAATTTGTTTAGAATAACAAAATGAATTTACATGTGATAATACAAGTGACACAGGTATGTTTTATGTAGGTACCTACCTACCCACTTTATGTTTTATCCAAGTTTTCCCAAATCATAGCCACCATGAAACATCACTCAGTTTCGTAGGTGAGGAAACCTGGACAAATTTGTCATGTTCATTTCTGAAAGTTACATAAAGCTGAAATTGTTTAGCCTTAACAGTACTTTCCACTGAAGACTGAAATACTGGGTACAGTGAAGACATTGGCAAAATAATGGTTGAGGTTGGTATGACAGCTCAAGGGTCCCAAGTTTAAATTGTATGTATGTGTTCATTACTGAATATCGGGAGCTGCGAGTTTACTATTTCTTAAGGTTCAGGTGTGACGTCTCTGTACAACTGATAAAACTTAACTAAGCAGACAATTGTAGCTAAATTATTTCCTTTATTTTTTGCATTGCACAGACCACTGAGCTACCTTTATACAGTCAGTCCAGTAATTTAAATTCATATAGTGCTATGTGTATACAGTGATTTCATGGGCTCTCCCAACAGCCTTCATAGATCTTTGAGGAACATGCCAAATATTGGTCTAACTTTGGGTGAATAGACAAGTGATACTTACAGGGATATTAGTCACAACTGGGCCTTTATCGGATGTTCTGAGTGTTATTCCTTTATTTATACTAGGTTTTTCATCAACACTTAGGATGACATTGAGATGATTTTTTTTAAAAAAAACCACCTTTTCATTCAAAGGAAAGATCTGTGTGGATCTGCCCAGAATAAAACATTGGGAAGTAATGAGAAGTGGAGATGTGGATGTAAACTGGAATAGCATGAAGTATTTTTGAAGCTGATCTATACAGAACTTAGCTTTTATCCTGGTGCTACTGAGGAACCACTGATTCCTGCCCCCCCCCCCCCCCCCCCCCGCTTAAAGCATCACTGTGACATCATAGAAAGTCATCTTCACATCAGGTTCAGTTTGTCCTATGTGAGCTGCTCTTAAGTCTCCCTTTGAGCCTCAGGGATGTCCCGTGTTCTCTGGAAGAGTTGTGAGTAATTCAGGAAAATCTAGAATGGTTGCCTGGAGAAGACAGTATTTTTTAAAATATATTTTTATTGATTTTGGGGCCGGAGAGAGAGAGACAAATGATGAGAATCATCGATGGGCTGCCACCTGCATGCCCCCTACTGGGGGTTAAGCCTGCAACCCAGTCATATGCCCTGATCAGGAATCAAACCGTGACCTGGTTCATAGGTCAACGTTCAACCACTGAGCCACACCAGCCAGATAAAAATAGTATTTTAACCAGGTTCTGATGCGGCGATAGAAATTTGAAGGACTGATACAGAGACGAACGTTCCTTGTTGAAGCAAAGATAAAAGTGTAGCAGCTCATCAGGAGAAATAACATCTTTTTCTATTCTGGGACTTGACAACACTGATTTGAGATTTATTAATAAAACCAGTTGGTAGGCCCAGGATTCCAAACCTAGTCTCATTCAAAGGAACTCATTACATTCAGCCCAACAAAATTTAGTGCCAAACCTCCGTTCTAGGTTCCTACTCTCCAGAACACCTTATATCTCCTGAGTCTTTTATTGTCAAGGTAAATAGCCAGTTTTCAATCACTGCTTCTGAATCCTAGCTTTCACAACTGTCTAATAGATTGATCTCCACTGTATAGACTTACTGAGCTGTTTGAGTGGCCTAGCTTATATGATCTGCACTTCCTAGATTATATGCTGGTTTTGGATTTTTTATATCTCTCTCACCTCCAATAACTGTGCTAGATAGAGAAAGTGGACATCAATAGGATAAAAATGAACCATTATCTCACCAAGTATGCAAAAAACTGAATGATAAAGTTAAAAATTAAAATTGCAAATGCAGAAGAAAACAGTATCTTTGCAACCTTGGAGTAGGCAAGGATTAATGCACTAAACATTTTTTAAAAAGTAAAAAGACATTAAAAGTAAAAAGCCACAGACTAGGAGAAAATACAATATATTTTACAGAATATATAATAAAATACATAAAAAAGCAAAGAACTGAACAGTCTCTACAAAAATATAAGCAAAGACTTCCTACAAGTACCACAGATACTGAAAGGCTAATTTAAAAAGATGAAAAGTGCATGCCAATAAATGCAACAATTTAGATAAAGTGAATAAATTCCTTGAAACAGGCATCTGTGTGATGCATTCTCCTGCCATTAGTCTACTCTAGGGGTGTCGAACTCAATCAGAGAAGGGGCCAAAATCTAAAATCCAGCCTAAATCACGGGCCGAATGGTTTACTGAACAGTCATAAACTGTCATTATGATGGAAACACAGCGGAGTGCAGTGATGACAGCGCGGTGCGGGCCACATTGCAAGGCCTGGCGGGATGGATTTCGCCCGCGGGCCTTGTGTTTGACACATGTGGTCTACTCAGTGCCCTGCAGCTCCAGAATGCCAGTGAGCTGCCCTTGCTGGGGAAATCTCAGGAGGAAGGTTATGAGGTCACAGCCCCAAGCACTTCTTGGGAGATGAAACTAATACTCATCCCTCTCCTGTTCCACTATCCGTTCTAGATAGCCCTCGCTCCCAAGCCATGCTTTTATTGGTCTCAGTGGCACGTGGTGGCATGGTTCAGACTCTCATCTCTGAGGGGTCTGCATTCTGGTCACCATAACCTTCTCAGGAGTTTGCATCACTTGTCCAGTTACCATCAAAGTTGACGCCCAAGTGGATCTTCTGGGTCCCCCTCCTATTACTCCCTGGCCTCACTGTGCACCAGAAACCCTAACTTTCTCCTAATGACAGGGCATATTGCCCTTAAATTCATCTACTTAAAAGTGAAATTTCTTTTAAAATCAGGAACAAGTCAAGAAAAGTGTCATTACTACTTTTACTCAATATTGTACTTAACAATCCTAGCCAAAAATGATTAGAAAGAGGAAATTGCGCTATTGATTACCAATGTGGAAAACTCAAAAGAATCTATAGATAAATTATTAAAGTTAACATGTTTAACAATATTAGATATAAAGAAATGATTGTGCTTTATAGCAGCAATAAACTGTAAATTTTAAATAATACCATTTACAGTAGCAATAGCAAAAAATAACGATCTAAAGTCCAGAAAAATAAGAAGAAAATAATAAGACTCTTAGAAAACTATAAAAATTCCAAATAATTGGAGAGGTACAACATATAATGGATAGAAAAGTAATATTTAGAATACTAATTGCCTCCAGTGTAGACCTATGGACTCCATAAAATTAAAACTTAGCAGCATTTTTCTTGGAATTTAGTTAAAATAATTGCAAAATGTACATGATGAAACAGAATAACCTGGATGTGTCTAAAGAAGGATAAGGTAAGGTGACATTATTATGAAGTTAGACGAATTAAGATGTATGGTATTGGTAAAGGGATATATAACTAGAACAATGAAACATAAGACAGAACCCAGAAGCAGACATACACTTATGCAGAGACTTAACAGTGTCAGAGAGAGCATTGCAAATCAGAACTGGCTGGACCATCCAACAAGGTTTTCCATATGAATGATTAATGAGCTTGAATAGTCACATTTAATTGGTGGATGCCTTACACAATACTAAGAATCCATTTAAATGTGAGAGGCCAAACTTTTGCAATGTTAAGGAGAAAGTCTTTTTAAACTAATGGGAGAAGGAAGTTTTCTAAAGGAAGACACAGTGCATTTCATACAGGAAATGATTAATAAATTAGACTACATTAAACTTCATAATGCCTTTTCTTCAAAACACTTCAAAAGTAATGAAAAGATAATTCCAAAGCTAGGAGAATGTATTTAAAACATAAATATATAGCTGACAAGGTATAGTCTCAGAATATATAAAGAACTCCTGTAAGACAACCCAATAAAAACCTAGACGAAAGTCATAAATATTTCACAAGAGAATAAAACTTAATACACAATAATGTGAAAAAATGTTCATCTTGCAAATCAAAATCTTGACATCATTTTATGGCCATCAAAAAGGCAAAAATGAATAAATCCGAC